ATATTTTTTCAGTTTAGTTTTAGTTAACGACACTGCAGGCATAAGGAAAATAAATTACATAAATTACAGTAAAAAAAAAATGTAAATCTGATGACTGTAGAGTTTTCTAAAAAGCTTTAATGAAAGTAAAGCTACATTTGTGCACGGTTTTATAAAAACACACTAAGCTGTCAAATAAGAAATATTACATAATTCAAGTTCATGGCCCCATAATAAATATTTATGAAGTGTAAAAAAGTAATGAGCCCTGTTTACAGATCTGAAGTAATGTAATACCATGTGCAGAAGTTCTCCGAGCAGTATGGTGGCTCTCACTGATATCTGTCCATCACTGCTGGTCACAACCTCCACCAGACCCTGAGCAACCAAAAACATTAGCAATAAAAACATCACAGACCCCTTCCATTAAAGGTAAAGAAAATCAAGCATGCATCAAGTGATCATGTGATTATATACCTCCAGTAGTCCACTGTTGATAAAGGCAGACAGCAGTAGTGCCAGGTAGTTGTCCATGAGGTCTGGTCTGGTAATGGACAACACAAGAACATGAATGCAACGTTTAACCCAGAATATTCCAGTACTGCAGCCAGGCACCGTGTCTCACCTGGATCGCGCTCTGTGAGGCAATACGACTTTGGCTTCTGCAGCTACAAACCCATCAGATAGTCTCCAGCCGTCCTGAAACTTGCTGGGGTCTGAATGGCACAAACATCAGCATGAAACGCACGTCCCAGACAGAAAGAACAACATGCAAATCAGAGTTTACAGATACTCCTCTTCAGCAGTCAGTGAGGTGTTTCTGATCAGATGAAATGTGTTTAGAATTCGAGGTGCTTCTTACCCACGCTGTGCAGGGCTTCCTCAAAATCTCCTGTCACTATAGGAACAGGGAACCTGAAGAGCTCGTACATGACTTCTAATAAGGCTTTCTACAGATGCAAAAATAAATTGAAACATCCAGCTTTGAAACAGATTTATTTCAGTGAATCAGTGGCAAACAATGCTTCAACACTTTCAGTTCATCACTCAAATAACTTTATAATGTTTTAGTTCAAATATACAGTGGGGAAAAAA